CTCTACCTCTCTCTACCTCTCTCTACCTCTCTCTACCTCTCTCTACCTCTCTCTACCTCTCTCTACCTCTCTCTACCTCTCTCTACCTCTCTCTACCTCTCTCTACCTCTCTCTACCTCTCTCTACCTCTCTCTACCTCTCTCTACCTCTCTCTACCTCTCTCTACCTCTCTCTACCTCTCTCTACCTCTCTACCTCTCTCTACCTCTCTCTACCTCTCTCTACCTCTCTCTACCCTCTCTACCTCTCTCTACCTCTCTCTACCTCTCTCTACTCTCTCTACCTCTCTACCTCTCTCTACCTCCCTACCTTCTCTACCTCTCTCTACCTCTCTCTACTTCTCTCTACCTCTCTCTACCTCTCTCTAACCTCTCTCTACCTCTCTCTACCTCTCTCTACCTCTCTCTACCTCTCCTACCTCTCTCTACCTCTCTCTACCTCTCTCTACCTCTCTCTACCTCTCTTCTACCTCTCTCACCTCTCTACCTCTCTCTACCTTCTCTACCTCTCTCTACCTCTCTCTACCTCTCTCTACCTCTTTCCTCTTACCTCTCTCACCTCTCTCTACCTCTCTCTACCTCTCTCCTCTCACCTCTCTCTACCTCTCTCTACCTCTCTCTACCTCTCTCTACCTCTTCTCTACCTCTCTCTACCTCTCTCTACCTCTCTCTACCTCTCTCTACCTCTCTCTACCTCTCTCTACCTCTCTCTACCTCTCTCTACCTCTCTCTACCTCTCTCTACCTCTCTCTACCTCTCTCTACCTCTCTCTACCTCTCTCTACCTCTCTCTACCTCTCTCTACCTCTCTCTACCTCTCTCTCTACCTCTCTCTACCTCTCTCTACCTCTCTCTACCTCTCTCTACCTCTCTCTACCTCTCTCTACCTCTCTCTACCTCTCTCTACCTCTCTCTACCTCTCTCTTACCTCTCTCTACCTCTCCTCTCTCTACCTCTCTCTACCTCTCTCTACCTCCTTCTCTACCTCTCTCTACCTCTCTCTACCTCTCTCTACCTCTCTCTACCTCTCTCTACCTCTCTCTACCTCTCTCTACCTCTCTCTACCTCTCTCTACCTCTCCTACCTTCTCTACCTCTCTCTACCTCTCTCTACCTCCTCCCCTCCCTCTCTCTCCCTCTCTCTCTCTCTCTCTCTCTCTCTCTCTCTCTCTCTCTCTCTCTCTCTCTCTCTACCTCTCTCTCTCTCCCCCTCTCCACGTCATCATCATAGTTTGCGACTCAAACGATGTGCTCAAATTTTTACCTTTACAGCGGACTTTTGTCCGGTGCTGGACGATCCGATCGGCGGCACGCAGCAATGCAAAGACTGGGGTTCCGGCAGTCAGTTTAAGGTATGCGAAATTTCTTGCAACACCGGACTCCGATTCTCGCAGGAGGTTCCCAAGTTTTACACGTGCGGCGCGGAAGGCTTCTGGAGGCCCACCGGTGATCCCAGCCTACCTCTGGTCTACCCCGCTTGTACAAGTGAGCAATCGGCCGGCTCGGCTCGTTTCACTCGCGTTTCGTTTCTCCCGATCCCCGATAAATCTCGTTTCCTCGTCAATCAACGTGTCGCGCATTTGTCTTCGCAGCCGCCACTCCGGCCCAGAGAGTCTTCAGAATTAAAATGAGCTTCCCCACGTCGGTGCTCTGCAACGAAGCCGGCCAGAATGTGCTCCGCGACAAGGTCAAAGGCGCCGTCAATTCTTTGAACAGGGACTGGAATTTCTGCTCGTACTCTTACGAAGGTGATTCTTTCTCCCCCTCCCAAACGATAAAATTCGAATCTTCGAACGTCCGTGTCATGCAATCGCGCTCGCGCTTTATCGCGCGAGCGCGATTCAAAGGCGCAACAAAGTAATATAATTGTCTTGGCGTTTCGTTCTCTGAATGCCGAATGTCGTACGACAATGATTGTAGGTACTCGCGAGTGCAAGGACCTCGATATCGACGTGCAATGCGATCATCGCGCACGCACGACAAGGGATACGAGCGATGAAGACGGCGGAACGTACATCATCTCCGCGATCGTGCCCGCAAAGCCGTAAGTCAAACATCATACAGATGACAATTTTTTCCGATGGAAAAAATACATCGTGAAGTAGAAGGAAAGGAATGAATGAAACGTTCGCCGTTGAAACGTTTGCAGGTGTGATTCGCGATTTTCTCTCTTTCAGAAAATTCGCCTTCTTAGCCATAGTAGTAGTAGTGGTATTACGCCAAGTATTTATCTGGTATAGTATATCGTATCCGTATCGTAAAGCGTCGAGTAAGCGTCGCTACGGCGGTGCCGTAGACCGTAGACTTCGCTATTGCCTCGATCGTTCTCAATGTCTAAATTCAAGATTCGCCGTCTGTATGTCCGTATGTCCGATCCGGACATACGCGCGAACCGCGTATCGTGCTTACGAAACAGTGTTTCGCTCACGGTGACACTCAGTACTGAACATTTTTGTATTGCTTGTGTTTGCATCATAGAACGAGACAGGGTCGCCAAGGCAGTGATACCTACGAGGTGGAGATCTCGTTCCCGGCGATAAAGTAAGGACTCAGCTCGACTCACGTCACGCGCGATCCGTCTCATTTACACGTGTCTCATTACCTACCTACATTACATCCCGCACATCTCATTCAATGTTTCCCGCTACGATTTCTCGCTACGTTATCATTCCAAGCGGACGTATATAGCACTTTGCGCGGCTCGTAGCCGTAGCCACTTCCCGCGCCGTCATGTTCCAGCCTGTCATGTATTTTTCAGTCCTATCCGCTCGGCATAACGCTCTCATACGTATGAATACGTAACAAACAGTGACGAAACAGTGACGTCACGACGTCACATTAACTAAACTAATCCTACGACCGACGATTATTGGCCGTCGTGATTGTACGAGAGGATAAACTGGTGCACTGTGCACGTTACTAACTTTGTCGTTACTAACTCTTCTCTCTCTCTCTCTCTCTCTCTCTCTCTCTCTCTCTCTCTCTCTCTCCCCCTCTCCCTCCCCCCCCCTCTCTCTCTCTCTCTCTCTCTCCCTCCCTCCCTCCCTCCCTCCCTCCCTCCCTCCCTCCCTCCCTCTCACCCTCTCTCTCGCTCTCGCTCTCCCTCCCTCCCTCCCTCCCTCTCTCTCTCTCTCTCTCTCTCTCTCTCTCTCTCTCTCTCTCTCTCTCTCTCTCTCTCTCTCTCTCTCTCTCTCTCTCTCTCTGTCTTCCGACCGCTAGCGCGCACGACTGGTCACTGGTGCCCGCCTGGTAGCAGGTGGAACAAGTAACAAGCACGTCATCGTAGCGAGTCGCAAGGGGAACGCTTCCACCACCAGCAGTGATATGTAACCACCATCATCATGTAACCAAGATTGATGCAAACGAGCGACAAACTCCACTACGCCTGTATGCCTGTACGCGTAACCTGCGAGCGGCAGGTCCCACCTGCGCAAGCGCAAGTGAGGTGAAAACGAAAAAAAGTGTTGAGGAAATAGGAAGACGAAAGTTTCTGACTGATTTTGTCGAGTCGCGAAATAACAATTGTGGTGCATAATGACAATTGTGTCTGATGATAATGATAAGTCAACGATCAAGACAATCGATACACAGCTCTCTCTCTCTCCTTTTTGATTTCACACACTTGCGCTTCTTGGTGCTGCACTGTTTCGGCCGCTGTTTCGCTACGCGAAGTAAAGAAAATTCCGAATGTAATGTGCGAGTGTGGGCGAGCGCAGACCACTCTACGATTCGAACACACTCCGTCGACAAGCACGATTGATATGTATTAATTACGAATTTGCAATTACCAAGGGTACGAGTGTGATTTAATCTGCGACGCACGCGAGTCCATCGCGATGAGAATCGCGACCAAGACAGGGTCTGCCTTTTACATTTGACACTCGCCTCGAGATAACAACGGCTGTGTACATATCCGCGCGCCTGTACATCTTCCTCATGCCTTCTCCCTCATGCCTCATTCACTTACTTACTTGTTTTACCCAAAAGAAAAGAGAAGAAAAGATCGACCGAAGAAAAATGTATCGCCGATTAACGCTCACTCGCGTGTTTCTCGCAGCGATCCTATCCTGAATGCCAACACGAACGAGCGCGCTACCGTGCAGACGTTGCTCGAGAAGCTGATTCTGCAGGAGAATAAATTCGACGTCCATCAGATCTTACCCAATACCGTGCCCGACCCCGCGTCTCTCATTCTGGAATCCGACTATGCCTGTCCGATCGGCCAAGTTGTCATGCCACCGGATTGTGGTAAGTTGTGGCGCCGAGTTGTCGAGTCATCAACTCAACTCAACCTTCGTCTGCCTCTTTGTTATTTAAAGTCAAAGTCAAAAGTTCAGTCCGATTTAATATACGTTTCCGAGCAGTATTTCGGCGAGTGATGCCCAGTTGGTTGGTTGGTTGGTTGGTCTGGTCGGGTGGTCAACTACATCTCCACGAGACAGTAGTGGAGCAACAAGTACATACGATGCATGCTGCTCGAAATAATGAAACACGCGGAAGATCACACGCGCCCATCAATACGACGCGACGATTAAATCCACTCACGGTGAAAAATTAATCATTCGCAGTACCATGCGCGGTGGGCACTTATTACGACGAGAAGAGGAAACAGTGCGCGTCTTGTCCAGTCGGCACTTATCAGAGCGAATCCGGTCAGCTCAAGTGCAGCTCCTGTCCGGTGATCGCCGGTCGTCCCAGCGTGACCGTGGGTCCCGGTGCGCGTAGCGCAGCGGACTGCAAGGAGCGCTGTCCCGCAGGCAAGTATTACGACGATGTGGCCGGTCTTTGCCGTAGCTGCGGCCACGGATTCTATCAGCCCAACGAAGGCAGCTTCTCCTGCCTCCTGTGCGGCCTCGGCAAGACCACAAGGACGGCCGAGGCGGTCTCTCGCGAGGAGTGCCGGGATGAATGTGGCTCCGGACAGCAACTGGCCGTCGAGGGCAAGTGCGAGCCGTGCCCGCGCGGCACGTATCGCACGCAGGGGGTTCAAGCGTCCTGCCAGGCCTGTCCTATCGGCAGGACGACTCCCAACATGGGATCCGCCGCCGTAGAGGAGTGCTCGCTCCCAGTTTGCGAGCCTGGGACTCACCTCAACGGTACGCTCAACGAGTGCGTGGAGTGTAAGAAGGGCACGTACCAGTCGGAACCGCAACAAACCTTCTGCATCCCGTGCCCACCCAACACGAGCACCAAAGGTCCCGCAGCCGTGAGTATATATATACCTGCGATATCCTCGCCGCGTTCTGCATAGCAAACTGATAGCGGCGCGGCCGCGCGTCTCGTTGTCTCGAGCCATTTCCATCTCTCTCAAGGAGACGGTGGAAACAGGTATGCGAGCATGAAATTGAGCAAGAATTTGACCGTGAGAATAGTGTGAGAGAGAGAGAGAGAGAGAGAGAGAGAGAGAGAGAGAGAGAGAGAGAGAGAGAGAGAGAGAGAGAGAGAGATGCCGTAATAATATATGAGACGCGTGTTTGTTGTGCAGACGAGCAAGACGGACTGCACGAATCCGTGCGAGACCAGCGGCGAGGAAATGCACTGCGACGCAAACGCCTACTGTCTACTTATACCGGAGACGAGCGACTTTAAGTGCGAGTGCAAACCCGGATACAACGGCACCGGAACGGTTTGCACCGACGTGTGTCTGGCTTACTGCGACAACGAGGGCGTCTGCCTGAAGGACTCGCGCGGACAACCCTCGTGCAGGTGCAGCGGTAGCTTCACCGGCAAGCATTGCACGGAGAAGTCCGAGTTCTTCTACATCACCGGCGGCATAGCGGGTGGCGTTATTCTGATAATTATCGTCGTGCTGCTCGTCTGGATGATTTGCGTGAGGTTGGTGAAAAAGGGATAAATTATTATTATTAGCGCTCTCTCGCCGCACGCAAATTGGAATCTCACCTCTCATCAAGGTGTCACACTGACGCACGCTCGTCTCTCGCTTTTGACTCTCCAGAGCTTCCAGAAAGAAGGAGCCGAAGAAAATGCTCACACCGGCGACTGATCAGAACGGCTCTCAGGTTAATTTCTATTACGGCGCACCGACGCCCTACGCCGAGTCGATAGCGCCGTCGCATCACAGCACGTACGCCCACTACTACGACGACGAAGAGGACGGCTGGGAGATGCCCAATTTCTACAACGAGACTTATATGAAAGGTAAGACGAGAAGCGCTCAGCGTGTAAGTAATAGTGACGACACAGAATCACTGTCGCGGGAAAGGAATTTTGCATACGACGCTTATATACGTACGACGCCGTACGGCGCACGTACGTACTCTCTCTCATTTCCTCCTTTTTTTCTGTCCAATCTGTACAGAGAGCCTGCACAACGGCAAGATGAACAGTCTTGCTCGATCGAATGCCAGTATTTACGGCACGAAAGACGATCTTTACGACAGACTGAAGCGTCACGCGTATACCGGTAAAAAAGGTACAATCCCGCAACTACCCTCGTAAGTCATACTTAATCAACGCCGGCTCATCGCACGTTACGGCACGTGAACGTCCGAAAAAAATTGCCACCAACAGGATCGCGGATGCAGCGTACCTCGCGCACACAACCGGCCGCTTATATTTATTAATTAATTTAAGTACCTTACCCGCCCCTATACCCTCCCGTCCCCTCCCCCGTCCCGCAATGTCGTTTTTTACCATCATGGAACACGTAACAAATTTCCGTTCAATACCTTATAATACCTTATAATACCGAATAATAATAATAATAACGACTGAGATCGATGCGACGAACGCGCAATCTTTGATTCTCTTCTCGAGCGCGTGCGGCGCAACAAAATAATATTACGAAATGTCCATTTTGCAGATAAGAGCGACAGCGACAGCGAAGGCCAGTGACCGGGTAGAGCAATGAGTTTCATGCCAACGTAGAGTACGAAAAAGTGAGAGATATCGATGTAATCAGACGGGGCGACGACGGTATCTCATTCTTCGTGCGGCGACGTCGTCGTCGTCGTCGTCGTCGTCGTTGCTCCTTCTCCCGATCGACGGATCGAATGTTATATTTATTGCATATCCTTCTTCTGAGACGTAGCGCACTGAGATCCGCGGCCGCCCTTGTCGGAACTAAACGCGGGGCCGAACGACATCGACAAAAAAGGAGCAAGAGAGAGAGAGAGAGAGAGAGAGAGAGAGAGAGATAGAGAGAGAGAGAGAGAGAGAGAGAGAGGTAGTGATTCGAAGAGCCGCGAGATCTCCCGTTGACGTGAGAGACGCGCTTCGATCGACGACGAGCGACGCAAAAGTCCTGGAACGACGATCGATAAGCGTAACATATTTATATATATATATATATATATATATATATATATATATATATATATATACACACACACACACCGATCGTCGCTTCGGCACGCGTCCGTCGAGACGGACATGTATGTATGAGAGTTCTTCCGGAAACTCGAGGCGCGCCACACAGCCACAAGAAATGTAAAAAGAAATGAAACGGAGAAAAGAAAAGAACGGCATCCGTTCGTTTATCAAAGTGAAATTCGATGCGTGTTCAATGATTAAAGAGACTCGCGCGCGCGCGCGCGCGTGCACGTATCATGTTGTAATTTTTGTAATTTAATACCATCTAGATGTTAAGAACCACTCCGCAACGCCACACCATCGCCAACAATCCCGCCTCCTCCTCTTCCTCCAATATTCCCTTTGTTCACTCATACGATTAACGGTGCGTACGTGACAGGAAGTGTGTGCTCGTGTATGCTGACATAAATATACGTACGTGGATTTTTATTTTGTTACTTTTACGAAAGTATACGCGCATCACGTTGTAATATAATATGATAATGATGTGCGGTCGCTCAAACGACGCGACGGGAGACACGTTGAGAGACGCTTCTCGGATTTAAACAAGCGAGAAAAAGAAAGAAAAAGAGGAGAAGGGAGGAGAAAGAGAAAAAGAGAGAGAGAGAGAGAGAGGGAGAGAGAGAGAGAGAGAAAGAAAGAGAGCGCGCAACAGGAGCAGTAGTCTCGCGGAAACCTTCGCGGTATGAGAGAATAAATTGATTCGCATGGTGACCAAAAAAAAACAAACAAATAAATAAGTAAATAACAAAGTATGTTTACTTTGGGAACGTTTCGAGTGTGTTATTTATACTACTCGCTCTCTCACTCTGTATAGAAACTCTGCATAGAGTTCTACTACCACTGTGTGATAAAACTCTGTGTCCACATGCAGCGAGTGTACACCGAACGCAAAACCTACCATGATCTGTTTTTCACTTATGTGTTGTATAAAAAAGGAAAAACTTTAACAGATAGTTATGTTTTTATTAATAAAATGTATTTCAGTAAGATGGCTCGAGAAATGTTTCGACTATGCCACAAATATATTACTTTGAATATCGCGAGTGCGAAACGGTGTCGCGATTTTTTCACGCACGCGGAGCCTTTGTTACTTCGTTCTTTTCTTCATTTAATCTTATCGCTATCACTCTATGCATTTTGCGTTTAAAATCGGAACTAGTCCCAACTTCGCGAGCATCCGATCGAGGCGTATCGCGTACACACAGCTTTATCGGTCAACTTTGGGTCAATTCGAATGTCCGTGTTGCTGCTTACCAGGAGCTGCATCGTCGCAACCTTTACGCTCATTGTCAACTTCAAATGAGCCGTCGATAGAACTACGTCTCCCACGTATTTTCATCTCTATCGGACAAGAAAGAGGAGAGAGAGGGTGAGAGAGAGAGAGAGAGAGAGAGAGAGAGAGAGAGAGAGAGAGAGAGAGAGAAACGAAGATACGGCATAAAATATATCAAGTGAGACGCGTCGAATAAGGAAAAACATACCATGCTCTTTTCTGCGCTTCAGCATGTCCAAAGCACTTTTAACGCTTGTATCGTTGTCATTGCGCTTTATCACTGCTCGCACGTGATATACAACAATATATTTAATTTCGACAATTTATCCTTAACGATTAGATTTTTTGTTGGATCAGATGATAATTTGTGCACAAATGTACAGTTACGATTACGATTAAATCTTACATCGAGCTCCAACGTGACAGGCCTTTGCGTAATCTTTTGTCATTACAGCGATGACAAACTGAAATATATAAGATTAATGTTTTGGTTAATGTTTATCTCTCTCTCTCTTAGCGTGCAGCACGGAAATGATGTTCGGATTTATCCGTTATTTTGGGTTCACTTCGAATTTTGGGTTTACTTCGAAAAGATCGCAATTCGCCGCGTTATCTTCTGTGCTCATCGTTAATGTTCGTTGCTCTCTCGAGTGCTTCCTGCTTTCGTGATTTGAGTTCGTCGGATGAGCATTTTCCATTAGCACACACAAACAATAGTCGCAGAATCGCGACTATCGCGTGATCTGTGATCTAGGTCTATACAGAATAAAGTCCAATGTTGTTGATATTTTAAAACGTTCTCACACGTATACACATCTACGGCACCTATGGCAACGTGCAAATGTCTTTTCTTTCTTTTTTTCACACGAGATTTGATACAAAAGAATTTCACTCTCCATCGCAATAACAACTTACTACTGTTGAATAAATCATCGCGTCATCATTGAGATTGCGTGCCTTTTATTGATACGCAAACTTGGTACATAAATAAATAGCAGATGATAATAAAATAAATAAGAAACAGAAATGTATATACAAATACAAATGTAAATCGATTGCACGTGTATACATGTTGACGTTCTTTACTCAACCAAGTCTCGGACCTCTCTTCGAACCAACCATTATCGACTGCTTTAGCCGAGATTTAAATTTTGCTTCCTGGCAAGAGTGAAACCAAACACAGAATCAAGATTTCAACTAAAAGTCAACATTCACACACGCCTCAACATGTGGAAGGCGTATGGAAGGAAGGAAGGAAGCAAGGAAGGAAGGAAGGAAGGAAGGAAGGAAGGAAGGAAGGAAGGAAGGAAGTTTCGTGTAGTATTTGTTGGTCGTCTGAACAAGGGGAAAGCAGATGCACGTTTAACAATTAATGTCTCGAAAAAGCGCAACGCCTTCCCATTCCCGTAACATACACGGTAACATACACGCTTATTATTAACAAATAGCTCTCAATTAGTAGCGTGTGAGGAATATTAACGACGCAGAAATATTTGAGAATGAAATAAATATTTGTTATTCGCATTTCGTATAATCGTGTCCGTTATCACGGACACGTGTCATATAAAAGTGTGTCGTGACAACTATACGCTATGATATACAGACTAATATACTGCACGCAACATGTTTTTTCTCTAAATTCTCGTTTCTTCCACAGCCTGTCTCGTCGTTTTTTACAGTTGATCGCGCACGGGTAAGGTCCATCTTTTTTCTCAGTCAAACTGGGTTATGTTTCTTACCTCTAGAGCGAAACAAGCAATATAATCCAAGAGTTGAAAAGGAATGAAAAGGAATGAAAAGTTCTTTTTTGCCGGGGTGTGGCTGGCATTAGCTCATCTAAGAAGAACAGATAATCTACAATATCGTGATAATTGAGGAGGAAAAAAATGTTGGAACGTATTCAATCTTTTAATTTTTCCATTTCTCGTAGTTACCCCTTTGTATTTCCGCGTACGAGATATTCTCTTAAGAACACACTATTGTCTATTGTTGAGCCACGCTTTCTGCAACGATACTGTAAATTTTCCATTTCTTCTCACTCTCTTTCACAAAACGTTTCACGTGTATATACATGCACTTTCGTCTATCACCCAGGCAGCTTCATCACGCGCATCTCTATAAGAGATGTCTATAAGAGACATTGGCGAAACATCGCACTTGCGATTAAACACCTTTGCAAATGCATCTCTCCAAGACGCATCGTCTTGGAGACAGGCATTTGTGTTGGTTGGTTGTAAGCACAGACAACTCGGTGCAACTCGGTGCAGCTGTGTGAAGAACAGATCCATTCTATCGCTTAAACTTCAAAGTCTTCCTCAGCAGCCGGTAATATCACAACCGTTACAGCCAAAGGCTTCGGATTTGATTTCTTGCACAGCAAAATCTTAATCCTCCCTGATATTTGACTCTTCAGCTTTGCACAAACGGTTAGGGATATGGGTGTAGCACTTGGTAGCAGAGGCAAGTTTACCACACCGGGGCTCACGTCGCTGTCGTCGGCTCTGCAGAGAATATACAATTCCGCATGGGTCAAACCCTCGGAGATATTGGTCACTGTAATGCGAATCATGTAATTGGGTCCTAAACCGAGAACATTTGCCTCCAACGTAATGGGATTCGGTCCCGACGCTTGGTTCTCGTTTAAGTGTTCGGAGGCTTGTTTAGCGGTGCTTAGACGTAAACGAAGAAACCCTTGCTGAAATGTATTGTGTATTTTTTTCGCCTCGGCTCTCTCTCTTATCGTCTGATCGACGAACAGTCTTGTTTTTTTCGGTATCGAAAACTTGGACGCGTTGCACGATGACGAATTCGACGACGACGACGACGACGACGAATTGTTCACATTAAAATCAGCGGTGCGCTTCAGGATCTTCATGCACAAAGCACCGCCGACAGTGACCATCGCTATTGTTCGTTCCTCTTGTCCCATTCGTCCGTACTAAACATTTTCACGAAAAGAATCGGATACGTCAATATCAGGAGAATCGTGACAAGGTCTCGCTTCTGGTCCCAAAATCGCGTGTCCTCAAATGTCCCGGGGAGACAGGGGAGACAATATCAGATACACGGAGAAAGAAAGCAAATCCTTCGTTGTATAGTTTCTCTTGAAACCTATAGATAGACCGCTATCAGACATTTGTCATTTTTCCTCTCATATTTCCCGTCTCATATGTCTAGGAATATTGAGGAAGCGTTCAACTTTCAGCGCTGAGGACCCGATGCGAAACGCACGCTTTTTGATCGTTTCAATTGCTCGCACGTGTCTACTTATTTTCGCATAATTCGCACCGATTCTTTCATATTTAATATTTACTTTGACACAGCAGCACAACACATTTACCTTACTTTTACACAAGGAATGAGGAAGGAATACCTTAAGAGCGGACACGGGTTCCATGACCTTCACCGTATCCACATGATGCTTTCCGTCATAAATGCGGATTCCGTGTCCCGCTGTGCTTACGGCTAACAAGGACAGACCGCTTTGCGGAACCGGTAAACTCACTAGATCTAATATTATACCAGGAATGCCGATACACCACAGCTTTACGCCCTATGAAACAAAAGGAAACAAAAAGAAAAAAAAAAAATTAGTAAAACAGCAAGATTTAAGATATCGAAGACGTAAATCATAACGTTACAACATTCCATGTCTTCCTTTCTCTCCCTCTTCCTCTCCCTCTCTCTCTCTCTCTCTCTCTCTCTCTCTCTCTCTCTCTCTCTCTTCTCACTTTCTTGTTTGTTGCTTTCTCGTGATTTGGATAGAAAAGCTTTTCATTATCCTTAGGCGTACCCTTTTTGAGAAGCCTACTAAAGTACCGTCCATAACTGCTGCTGCCGCTCCTGCCGAGGTAAGAACGGAAATAGATACCGCTGGCGCAGGCAATGTTTCCCAAAGTTTTACAGGGCTTCCTCTCCTGATCGCCCCTATTTTTCCATCCCTTCCAATGACAATTATACGACCGTCGCCCGTCCACAAGCCACAGCTGGCGAATGCTACCGGTGGCCACTCCAGTTGATGCTTATCCATGACCAAGAAAGCTCTGTGGACAATTACGCGCGAGCGCGTTGAACAGTTTTGTTGTTGATATGAAAACATATCAAGTGTCTACCTGGGATCCAGAATGAGGGTTTCTCCAGCTTCGGTTCCTAATATAAGACAGCTACTGGCGGGATCGTTCCACGAGTCTCTTCGTATGATCGCGATCGCTGTTAACGCGTTGGGTTTAATAAGCGGCACTCTCCTGTACTGCTCCGCGAAGCTCAATCGCAGGTTGCTGTCCATAGACAAAAACTTTAACGTTCGAGGCGAGAGAAATGCCGCACCAAGCTCCTTCAGTAACAGCTCCAAGTCGTCCGCCAGTGTTAGCACATTCAATTCCTCGTCCAATCCGCACTTATGCCAGATCTATGCCAAGATATTATCAAGATAGATCCGTTTCAAGATCGTCTTCGAGTCAAAACGGAATATCGAACTAGCCGAGAGATGGCTCTGCGTCATCAAGATCTTTCGCGGCGTAAATTCGACAAAACATATGTACTTCTCGTTCCTTCGGGTGTGCATCGATGTGCGGTAGGCAATACTTGAAGAAGGGTCTCATATTTTTGAAAACATACACACTGGCTCCAGCTCCTACAGCTACTACCGATGATCGAGGTTCCCCGTTCTCCGTGTAAAAACCAACTATGCCACAGGGCGGATCCACCATGTTGTGTTCAGTCACCTGATCACCTCCTTTATACACCCGTACCTAAAAGCATACACAGCTAAATATCCAACACGAGATCAAGTGTCACGTCTCATTATTAATAATTGTTGAATTATGCAAGGGGAATTAATAAGCGTGCCTGTGTGTGTGTGTGTGTGTGTGTGTGTGTGTGTGTGTGTGTGTGTGTGTGTGTGTGTGTGTGTGTGTGTGTGTGTGTGCGCGCGCGCGCGCGCTATCAACATTTGATTTTCCGTATTACAATGAGAGAGAGAGAGAGAGAGAGAGAGAGAGAGAGAGAGAGAGAGAGAGAGAGAGAGAGAGGAGGGGGGGAGAGAGGGAGGGAGTTTACACATGTACCTTCGTCGAGTCACTTCCGACTGGCCCTAGATCAGCGCAGATAAACCTGGCGTCGCCATCGCCACTTACATCCAACATATCGAGTCCGCCTGGCAAAGCAAATAAACCAGCGCTTGGTTCCCAAAGCGCCTCCAACCAACGGCTCGTACCAAGTCCACCGAGGGATTTGTGGTCTGCTCTGTGTACGTAAGAAGAAAGATTTCAATTTTCATGCGCAACTACTTGAATTGAAATCGCTTGTGCTACATTCTATAAGACAACATTCGTGTAACATTCGGAAGTCTCTGGGAAAAAATTTGATCCTACTGGCGATAAGATAATATTTAGATAATATCATTGTATATAGCATTTTCAGAGCGGCGTAACTAAGGGGGATAGCGGCAACATTTCGATTATATAATTATAGGCGGTGTATGATCGAGAGAGAATGAGAACGCACATACACATACGGCCAAGCGCATACGGAGAGAAAAATGCTTACCTTAAACCGTGCATATCTGCAGAACTTTGTAACTTGTTTCTCTCGTGTGCAAGTTAGTCAATTAGTTTACAATTTAAATTTACCCAATTTATCCAATGTACGTTGATGTATTGTTTATTTGCATCTTATATTCCTTTATATCATACCGATATAACGCGGTGTATATCTTTATATCTTTTTATATATTGATATATCTCTCTCTATCATGATTCAATTGACATTCCGCGGCTGAACGCGCATATTAGGATTCTAGCATATTGCTATTCTAGAAGTGTCACCGAAGTGTGCCATGTGCTCTGTTTATGCATCTGTTACCACAGAAACCATCGTCCATATACATACCGGCGTGCACGAGCGCGGCGCATGCGGCATTTACGTGCATTTCATCGGCACACGGCACTACGTTTTCACACTAGCACAATAAATCAGAGTGAAAGAAAGTAAGTACACTTACTTGTTTCATTGTAACGCTTATTGCACGCTAGTTAAAAGAAAACGGACAAACCTCTATCGTTGAACTTTAGGGGCCTGCCTGAAGAAATTTGCATGATCACACAATGTATATACGCATATGCAGGAAAATCGACCAACCATGTGTTGATACAAAGACGCGTTTTATTCGTTACGCAAACTCGTACAAATTTGTCAGTCTCTCTTGTCGAAGTTGTAAAGTCGAAAGCTCCATTATCTTTTATATGCTATATAATATTATATCGATCCGTAATTAACAAATCCACATTCAGCAGAAACGATAGGCTTACGTTACGCTTACGTTTCGCAATTCGGACCGGATCGATCCACGCTCAGAAAGGGTCATTTTATCGCATTGTAGTATTCACACACATATTCACGACGATCTGTATCTCGAGGCTTTGATTAGGGGTTGAGTACAGCCGATGGATTTGCGATCAGCAAAAGAGATGATACGAAGATGAGCGCTTGCCGTTTATTGTTCCCGATTGGCAAACGTCTCCGGATCTGTCAAGGACTGGAAGTTATATCAATCACCAATCACACAGACAATAAACAACACCGAACGCTCACCAAGCTCATCCGATTATGAATCTTTTTCTTTAGCGTTAAACCGTAAAAAGTGAATATTTTCTAATTCACGTGAAAGTATTCACGATCGTCCCCCGCCTGGCTGAATGCAGGCAGGCACTGTGTCGTATCCTACGCTAACTATATATCCACATATAGATTACATAATGTATATAATGTATGTGTGTATTTCGCATGTAGTATATAAACATATATATATATATATATAAACATATATATATATATATAAACATTAATCAAAAACAATGGCAATCGTGGATCAGAGAATCGCTTACGATTCAAGTGTCAGTGTCGAGTAATGTCGACAATGGAGATGATCGCAACGACGGCGACGGAGGTCTTGCAGTAAGAGTTTCTAGTTCACTGCAATGGGACTGGCATACGGTGCTAGATGTGCTCAGAGTCGATTCTGACACTACTCCCCCACCCTTGAAAGCTCTTCTCGCTCGACTGTCGTTATTTCTTGCGGCATCATCTTCCGCATCGTCATCACATTTGATTTTAATGAAACAAACCAATGTCCTGAACCTGCAACACCTGTAAATTATATATACATATATATACATACATACAGGCGCATTCAATCACACAATTGTACAATTGGACAGATGTATCACCGGGAACACTTAAGTTGAGCAAAATGCGAAGATGGTCCCGCGACTGCTAACATCGAACACATAAATAATGTGGCGTATATCCAACTTATTGCCATCACGAGCAACAGAAAGACACCAATTTGTATGTAGGCCATTACACGAGAAGGTAACATCAAAGCCCCTGCGGCTCCGCTCGTAATCGCCGCCATAAGGGTTGGCCCAGCCATTTGTTGCAGTGCCGTTTTTACTCTCTCCGTTCTCTCTTCGGTAATGCACGACTTGTAACTCACAGCGTAATGCAAACTGAAGTCGACAGTAAGACCTAAGAAAATGAAAAATATTCACAGGCGGTTATCTTCCCTCCACCTTCCTACACATCGCTAAACGGTTCGAATCGAAGACGGAGTCTGCAGAGAAAAGATTTTCTCCTCTGCTCTTATCGTTTGCCGTTTATTCGCTACGTTACGTTATTTACCTATTGCCGTAGAGACTGCAACACTCTCCAAGACATTGAGCTTCCAGCCAAGGAGGATAAGTATTGCAACCGTTACTATTATCGCAGCGCCGATAGTCGCAATGGCGTATAAACTGACAAGAGGGTTCAGAGTCACCAGTGCCAGTACTGTCAGAGCTAGGATCAACGATACTCCCATTGCCCATATGGTACCATCGTACAACGTACGTTGCAATTCGAAGAATTCTAATCTACTGACGAACCAACCGCGTTGCATCCCCCGCGGTGCGCTCCGCAATTGACCCTGCATCCAATCCTCGACCTACGATCAAACTCTGTCACAAAGCGGGTCATCACTGGCGGGATCACTCGCGCGATAAACATTGCCGTGTAAAATCACTCGTGCACTACTCGCCTCGCGCGGTACTTGCCTGGTTAAAAAATGTATCCATACTCGCAAACGAAAGAGTATACGCGTACGAGCTGTCGTATTCAACGACGAGTGCCTTTATCTTAGGCGTCAGCTTCGTCGTGTGGCTCGTGCCGTTCAGCAATCGCGAAGGCAACAACGGTTCTTTTGCGAATTTCAGGCCCGCAGAAATCGCGCCACCCCGGGGCGTCCACAAGTGGGACGGTGTGCGATGTAATTCCGCGCTTGCTTCGGCCGCGCACTGCTGCAAAACATCGGGCTCGTACGGAAACTTGCTGCTTTCGCAGCATGGCACGTAGTCGATGCGAGGATCGAGAGGATCACTGCAACGTCTTTGCATCCACGAACGTAACGATTCGATAAAACAATTGGGTAACAGGGGCCCCATGGTACTGCGATAAAAGGGCTGACTCCGTAGATCCTTGCAAAATTGTTCGAGCCATAACTGCGACTCCGGATCGGTAATGTCAAAAGTTTCGTCCCACTGTGGCGTCCCTTTTCTACCGGGATCGAGGTGATCACCATTATCGATCGGTTCAATGCCCCATACAAATCTCAACGGTAGAATCTCCATCGAAGCGTTACCACCGACCTGTATATCGATATGCAGGTATATCTCTAATAACGTACATCCGGCGGCGAGATTTATCTGTACATGTACTACGCTATATGTTGCACAAGGTGTCGTATATGCCTCGAGAGATGCTCTCTCGTACGATGGATCTCGTAGCAAGCGAGAGTAAACGTTGAGTTTGTGGCATATTATACGACACCCGATGTCACGTATATGTATGCGATTGAAAAAATTACGGAAATGTATAGGTACCATTTCGTATCTTTCGAACCAGAATCTTTGCGAATACATCAGGTCGTATTGCTCAAACGGATGTGTATTATCGAACAATTGAAAGTCGATATAGTCTGGCAATTGCAAACCCGGATAACGGAAGACGACGATGCAACACGCTATCGCAGCAGTCCCCAAACTCAATATCCAAATGCATCGTAAGCCGATCACCATCTTGATGAGAAGAGCGGTGAGTCCTACTGTTACTTTATCTCTGAAAGATCTAAGGGGACGAATAATCCTCTCGCTGATAAAATTCCGTGATGATAGAGTGAATTTATAACGCTCCGACACAACCACGCACGCTGGTAACCACGTGATCATCAAGAAAAAGTTAGCAATGACCGTTATGCCTGAAAATAAACTATACATGCGAAATTATGAGCGCGCACGTACGGGCACGCACGCGCGTTTAGAGTTATACATGTCGTGCAGTGTGCAAAGAGTGTGCAACATGACGCAAAGATGTACACAGTAGAGAAGCTGATACCTGAAACAGTTGATAGCAGTCACGTTGCTAACGATCGACGCGAAAAAGGCTACCGCTGTTGTGAGAGACGTGACGAACATCGAGGGAAAAGCGTGTCTCATGGTTTCTTGCACCAAATGTACCAATTCGCCGTTGGAGGAGCATTTCTGCCGCTTCTTGGACTCCCATATTTTGCAATATATAAACGCGTCGTCCGCGCCGATACCTGCCAATGTAAAAGGATTTCACGTCGTCGTTTCACGTATCGCGGTAATCGCCGCTGTTTGTATGAGAAAAGAAAAAAGAGAAAAAAAAAAGAAAAAAAAAGAAAAAGAATGTAATATCGATCTCAGAGAGCTTGGGTACCTATAGCTACAACGATGGCCAGCAAGTTCATAAAAGGAAAAAACTGAATACGCAAGACAAGAGTGTAGACTGCGTACGAGATACTGAGACTGAACACCACTGCGAAAATCGTCGTGATGGTCAAAATTATGCAGCCAGTGTACGCCCAGATGCAGAGTGTAACGAACACAAAACCAGCGAGTAACAAGCTTGAATCGGACACTAACAGCCGATCGAACAGCGTACTTTTTAGACCAAGTTGCATGCCTTGCACACGTATCTTTCCGTACGTTAAGTCGTTATTCTTCGTGTCTATCTCTTTGTAAAAGTCCAAAGTCGCGGAGCTCGCCGCAATCGGAAGAAACAACATAACGGATTGCAATAACGTCGCATTTCGTTTGTTTCCAGTGTGTTCTGTATTCTGTAAATACGTAACGAATGGATAGTTATAATGGATGGAAGTCAGAGATCGTCAGAGCGATCGAGCGTACGTATCATCAATCGGAATTGGGGCAGTATCGACGAAAAGCCCATGTTCTCTTACACGATTCGAAGGAGGAATAAAGTTGGCATCCAGAAGATAATGCAGTAGATGATAGACGGCGTTTCTCGCGTAACATTCAGCGGGCACGTGCCTCTGACAATTGAAGTCTTCCGCGCAGTTGGCTGATAACTGCCGATCGTGATAGTACGGAGCACATTGCTCCAAAAGTTCCTTCACCCCGGTGAGATCATCTTCCGTTATTCCTAGACAAGAACTGCGGTTGGATAATAGCGCTACATAGTTGGCCGGTGACCAGCTTCTGCAGCATTTATGGTTAGCACCGTTATGCTCCACTTGCGTCTGGCACAGGGACGAGAAGTGAGTATTCGCACGAAGCGCACTGTCAATGTGACATTGCGCCAATACACCCTCCGTCGACCACAGATTAATTCCCTTCGATTCCGTCCCAATTACAACACGAGCGTAGGAGGAAGTTGGCAAATTGCAAAAAAAATTGTCGTCATTGAGACGACTCTGATTACTGTCCGCTGTGTCACTCTTCTTACGATGTTTCTTCTCCAATTCCAGTAATTCTTTCCATGTATCTCTAGCCTCGTCACTTGCTCGTACGTGGCTCGTGTCATTTTGTAGCACATGCTTGTGTTTCTTCCCCTTCCGCTTACGCTTGCCCTTTGGCGTTTTTTTGAGAATATCCAGAGGAGAGGAGCTACGATTACGCGTACTCATGTCAGGCTGCAAAATCATTGAAAAGGATTAATCTCTTTTCGATGAATGAAACTCACCGACAACATGATAATTTTACATCAGTGTTCGCGAGTAGTGAGATTAGAATCGCATAAATATCAACAAACATACCAAATTTTACACTTAGAAACAAGGATGCAAAACAAAGAGAACAAAGTTTTACAGTAGATACCCGTTGACTCAGTACATATCGATGATACTCCACAGGATTATCTACAAGTTCTCCATTCGCCCTTGTAGATTCCATTAAATTTTGCCAGGCTGTGAATCTCTGCGCCAAAATTGTACCCCTTGCCTCAAAACCCTGCCGTACATGTACAGTGTATACATACATAAATTCAGTCAATCAGTCAAATCGAAAGATTCATTCAGAGTTGATCCTGCATTCGTTATTTTTACCATTTGAGGATCCGAAAAGTCTGGAAACCTTTTGGTGCTGAGTGGAGCAATTACACATATTGAGGAAAACACAAACACCGTGATCAAAGTGATATATGGATGATGAGCAACCATGCGAGGAAACCACCACGCTTCCATTCTTATGAAAGAATCCGCGCGTGCCTTTCTTCCGTCTTACATTACCTTTGTCTCACACCAATAAATCCACGTGCCACGAACCGAATGAATGCGTTTACGCGAGAGAATCGTCATCGTCAGATCACTGTTACCGAACGTGTTAAAAAAAAATTTCAAACGATTACCCCGCAACTGGCAATTTGTTTTACTCGCGAGTATCCGCGAATGTCAAGTACTCACTCACTCTCTCACTCTCTCTCTCTTTTCCTTTTTACCGTTGCTCTTTCTTTAAGCACAGAACACCTTGAAAAGCTTTCCTTAACCTTCCTTCTGTCTTCATAGTTGCGTTCTGTATGTAATTCCGAAGGAGCATCCGAATAATCAGTATCCAAAGGCTCACGAATGCTCGAAGGAACAATCATACGGATACAACAAATTCTAGCCCAATTATTACTCGAGTTTATGACTAATTCCCTCCTTGTTGTCATAATAATTAAATAACACGTTACGCACGTTCTACCGTCGACAGGGTGAATATCTCGAAAAACGGACGCATCATGCACCCGTCTGAGACAACACGACGGGTATACGATGTTTGCGCGCTACAGATTTGGACGCGTCCGGTGAAACGGGTTGTCCGGGTAGTCTCCCTCTTTTCTTATGTTTTCTCATTCTTGTGTCTCTCTCGTACTCTACCAATACAGCGGACGCGTCCGAGTGACGTTTCCGAACGTAGCCTATGATGTACGAAACGTGTGTGCATGTACGAAAACGTCGTGGAAAACACGAGAGATTCGACACCACCATGGAAATGACAAGGAGGCGACTCCCGACATCTCGAGCTCCAATCGCCACCTTATTTGGGGTGCGTATCCATTCGACACAGCACGATCGGACACAAAGTAATTGGTCGCGTTCAGTAGATGGACAACAATTGGACAACATTACTAGATTTTCTACTGAATCTCGCTCCTGATTGTTGAAATACTTCTGGGTCTAAGAAGAATCTAATGAGGAATCTAAAAGAATGCTCCAATCACAGACAATAATCACTAAGCGCTCTCTGATCACTTTGTTCTACCGAACGCGGCCAATGATTGGTTGGATCTAGTAATTCACCAGATAATACTTTGCATCGGTTGGTTGTGTGCAATCGTGCTGTGTCGAATTGGGGTGCTTCCCGTGACGTCCTATATTCAACATTCAGATCCTAAATTCTCTATACCTAACCTAACCTAACCTAACCTAACCAGGAACACCGTTGACACACATCTAAAGCAAGCGGCACACGGTGCTTGTTTTCGTGCTGGATTGCTTGCTGGATTGCGTGCTGGATGAAAATATTGCGTTCTGATTGGTGTATTTCCGAAGATGGATAGAAATGCACCAATCAGAACGCAGTATTTTCATCCAGCAAGCAATCCAGCACGAAAACAAGCACCGTGTGCCGCTGGCTTTATATGGGCTCTGCGTTCCGACGATATATTCACTGTCAGCACTGAAAATCTATAGTACACGTCACACAAATTATGTATTTTCACTACTGGCAGTGGAATTTCGAAACGCACCCATCGAATGTCTATTCGATGTTGAAAATAGAGATAGTAGTTTACAATCTCGCGACTCGATCTATCCCTCGACATATTCCACGTACGAACGTGACACAAGCCGTCAAAAGTGTCAAAGTTGGGTCGTAGAGCACGAAGCAGATGGTTCGATCGATTCTTTAAAGATATTTCTGCCTTGAAAAATATATCGTTTTCGTACCGTACGTGCGTGTTTATATAGGTTTTATTACTATTCTTCAGCCGAGATTCAGCCGAGATATTCCGGTAAGTATGGACTACGTGAGATGCGCCTGATATCCGTTATGTATTACGTCGTCGGACGGAGTACGCAATCAGATGTTTACACCTCATGCGGCACGTAGGCTGATGTACTTTGAAAACCGCAGAGTGGTAACTGTATACTATACGATATCACCTTTATTAAGATCCGATTGATGTTACGACATACCAGTTGCGTCGACGATTTCTGCGCGCTGAGATGAGCCCAGTGCCCAGTGGAAGGATGTTGCGTCGGTTACTTTTAGCGGTCTTGCTTTTTCATCTAGAAGTGGATGGCAATTACTTTAGAACCAACTCCAAAAACGAAGATCAATGCTTCTGCAAGGTAACAGCTATCCATCTCCGTGTTATCCGACGAGACGAAGATATTTGTTTCGTTATTTGATATCAATTGCTCTTTTTAATTAATAAACCTAACCTCACTTAATCCACTACGAAAAGATGCCGATTTCGTAGTGATGTCATTTCCTTGAGAGATGTTTCAATATTGGTTCACAAAAATTACGTTTTTACATAATATTGCCATTAATTTGAATCCGCATCATCATATTGTACTCGTATTTTGAGAAGTAATTTGAAATTTTAGTTGAAAGGTTCTATAGATGACTGCACTTGCAATGTGGATACTGTGGACTACTTTAATAATATGAGAATATATCCGAGAATTCAGAGTCTTCTAGTCCGAGATTATTTTAGATTTTACAAAGTAAACTTGAAGCAAGACTGTCCGTTCTGGGCTGATGACAGCAAGTGCGCCATACGTTATTGTCATGTGTTACCCTGTCAAAATGTAAGTGTCTCTACTTGCGTTCCAATGGTTTTCAATTTTAAAGGTTTGCATTTTATTCGTCGCTGTCACTTGCAGGATGACATTCCAGAAGGTTTAAAGGGAGAGATTCCAAGAAATATACATTTTGATGAAAGTCCAGTAGACAAGTACAAAGCCGCGAGTGCACAATTTACCGATTGTAGACACAATGCGAGGGATCACAATGTAGAACTTGGTTACTTGAATACAACTATTAGGTATTACAGATGCAGTAAAGTGTTAATCACCAGGTAAACGTCAGGAGGATAAAGTATATCAATTACAGTGTAGAGAATTACAAAGAATTTGAAAGATGGCAGCGACACGATGATGCGCAGGATAATTTCTGTGTAAAAGAATCTAGTCCCGGGGAATATGTAGATCTTCTATTGAATCCCGAAAGATACACAGGATACAAAGGCGTTAGTGCGCACAGAATATGGCGGAGTATTTACATGGAGAATTGTTTCAGGTAATCCATCGTAGTTTTGTGTCCTATTATTTCGGGCGGTAGTGAAACGCGGAAAGTGTCACGGACGAAAGATTCTGAATGCGATATCCGTCGTATATTCGGGCGATTGCAATATTTGTCGTGTAAAATATCGTACGCGTTGACATTCTCGGACATGACTCGGCTGTGTTGAATGTTACATCCTGTTTATCTCTCGTCATTCTCACAGGTTTTTTTCGATTATATATGTGGTATAATATTGTTTACAGGCCTGAAAATTCACCTCATATTTTTATACAATCTTCCAAGATCAACGGTAAGTAATAGTAACCTCTGTTCTCCCGTGTGTCTCTTCTTTCTGTACAAAGTTAAGTTCCTCTTGGCCGTGACACGCGCATTTCTGGATGCAGCGTCCGCACAAGAATGTGCGTACGTTGATTCTTATCGTCGCACCACTCGGAATGTTTCATCCTTTTTCTTTTCTTTTTTTCCTCTTTTTTTCCCCCCCAAACATTTGTATTCGGAATGTGTGTGGAAGGTGATTTTGGTTTACAACATTACGGAGAAACAAATCCAACTATACACTGAATACACTCGCCACGTTGTTTTCGCCAAAGTCTTGTTTATACCAAGGATGACAGGATAGAAATAGAGAGAAGTTAACTGCATCAGCGATATTAGGAGCCAGAGATATTTCTCGACGGTCCGTTTTTCCGCGACGCATACCTCAGCGCACGAGAATTACGCGCATCAAACTCGACAAAATTGTACAAAGCTTTCGCTCCTACTCGTGCTCGTATTACAAGCTATTACCAAAAGAAATTACCTTGCAGGTATGTGTTTGGAAAAACGAGTTTTTTACCGAGTCATATCCGGCTTGCACGCTAGCATCAATATACACTTATGTTCGAAATACTTGCTGGCTCCTCAAGATGGTTTACGAGGATCGTCCGATAATCAGTGGGGTCCTAATTTGGAGGAGTTGCAAAGGAGATTCTCGTCGGAAACAACGGGGGGTGAGGGTCCGAATTGGCTAAAAAATTTATATTTCACTTACTTGCTTCAACTGAGAGCTTTAGCCAAGGCTGCGCCTTACCTGGAGAGAGAGGAGTATTACACGGGAAACACAGTGGACGACGAGGATACAAGACTGGCTATGAATGATATATTGAGCGTTGTCAAGTAAGCGCGACGGAGTACACGACGTACATGATACACGCGATACACGCGAGACAGATCGGAGTAAGAAGTAGAAAGTACAGAAAATCCAGACAATATCTGGCTGTCAATTTCAGGTCATTTCCGGAACACTTCAACGAGACAGTTATGTTCACCGGTGGAAGGCAAGCGCAGTTGTTGAAAGAAGAATTTAGACAACATTTCAGAAATATTTCACGTATCATGGATTGTGTGGGATGCGAGAAATGTAAGCTATGGGGTAAATTGCAAATCCAAGGCCTGGGTACCGCGTTGAAGATACTATTCTCAGGAAAATTCGACAGATGGGAACCGACGCTCAACAATCTAAACCGAAAGTTGTTTTTTCTGGAGAGGAGTGAAATTGTCGCATTGGTAAATGCTTTCGGCAGGTACATTTCATTCGTAATATCACCGAGAGAAAGGAGCAAAACAGGATTCTCTCGCACGTGATTAATGCGATCGATTTTTACAGATTATCAGAAAGTATCTTCGAGTTGGACAGGTTTCGCGGGATGATGAGATAACGTACCAACAATTTGTAATTAGGGATTTTTCAGTACTACTACGCCACATCACGGAACAACATCACTCAGATCAGCTACGTACTTTTTTTTATCTTTGTTACACGTGAAGCGTCGACTTTGCTGCAATCAGATGTCACGGGATGATACAACGATGTCGTAACGACGTTTGTATCTCGGTTATGTTTGTATCGCGATTTTCTCTTCCGATATTACTAGTAATGTATATGTACATACGAATGTTCACACACACACACACACACGCGCGCGCGCACACACACACACACACACACACACACACACACACACACACACACACACACACACACACACACACACTCACAAAAGAACGCTACGACTGATTTCATCAGTGTTTATTCATGCTAATCAATAAGTTAATTTTCCCAGTATATCTTGCTAGGAAAAGCTACTTTATACTGTAGCTATAGTTATAGCTATAATACAAAAGTACCGACGTAAAGCTTAGTCAACAAGTGCAAAATTATTACACGCGCAAGTGGATATTAGATAATACACTTATGTATAGAGTAAGAGACTGTCCTCCGAATTAACGTTTTTCTTTCATCAGATTCTGTACTGTAGTTTTTGACTCCGTCTGTGATAAATATTTTATCTAAGATACATATTTTTACATAACTTGAATGTATATTATACTTTGAATTTAGCTTTCTGTTTATACAGTACATATTTTTATAATCAATTTGATGTAACATGATCCACATAGATTACACATAACAAGCAATGTACATATATTAATATTTCTAAGATTATAAAAGGTAAAACGGATTTTATGGTATATACATATATATAGTTGATTCCAGCAAGCGTGTGTGTGTATATATAGACGCATGTGTATCTTTTCGAATTATTTAAATGGAGTTTGTGATACTTGAGTATCTTGATATTTAGTAAAAATCAAAAAAGTAAAATAATGTAGTTAAATGAATAGATAAAAAAAGATAAAAAAAATTTGTGAGGAAAAATGAATAAATAGAATATATGCATAACACGATGAGTCGTTTTTCTCTTTTTTTCTTTAGAATTTGCTATTATCTGTGGGTCTGTGGAAATCTTTCTTTTTCATTGCAAAGTGAGCCCATGTCTAATGTAATGTAATGTGTCACGAGGTACGTGGGTGCCGAGTAATATCGTGTGCCGTAGACGGTTCCGAAGTCTACTCCACAGTTGTAGCTGGCGCCACTCCTGTCTATGGACGATTTATTATAGAAACCGACGAGGTGATATGACCGACGAGGTAATATAAAGACCAAGGTACCTATTATGGGACTTTTTGTTTTTTTTGGTCACGCAGGGGAAATCCATCATGGATACCCCCTCCCCTTGGGGGGGGGAGTATGTCGGACTCTTACCGACTAAAACCCCTGCGGGATGTCTACCTGTCGGACCGTGAGGAGGGGAGTCGGGGGAACTACTCCCATATTCCCTCCCCAACTCCCCGGCCTCCTATTATGGGACTCGTCGGAATCGATTCCGATCGAATTTATTCCGTTATTTCCTAGATTTCTATTGTCTTTCCTAAGGGAAACGGAATTATTACGATCGGAATCGATTTCGACGAGTTCCATAATAGGTACCCACTACCCAGTGGTGCGATACTTTAACTCGTTATTGGAGTTAATGACAGTTTCGTTAACTCCAATAACGAGTTAAAGAATCGCGCCGCAGGGGTTGTATTTCGTACTCGCGTACCGATAGTTGTCGGTGTCGTTAGCAGTGTTGCGCAGCTTTTTTGTTATATGAAAAACCTGCGCAATACCGCTAACGACATCGAGAACTGTCGATATGTAGGTACGGAATAGAGCCCCAGTGGTGCGATTCTTTAACACGTTATTAAAGTTAACGACACTTTCGTTATCGTTGCGCAGCTTTTCTACGGTATATAAAAGCTACGCAACGATAACGAAAGTGTCGTTAACTCCAATAACGAGTTATAGAATCGCGCCGCGCTCAGAGGAACCTGAGAGCGGCCAACACGGCGTTTTCGGCGACGCCGATTTTTCGCACTGGGAATGGGCGCCATCTGCATCCATTTTGAGAGGAGAACTACGATGCTACACCCACTTTTAGGTCTCGGCGGTAAAACCTGCATCTGGTGGCTGTCCGTGCTACATACACTTTCAGGCGGTTTATGTCCGTGCTACAACCATAATAGCCTACTTGACAAGCACGGTCTCCCGCATAATCATGTGTTTGTAACATGAATTAACATGTTAACATGCGCAAAGAAAGAAAGAATTGACATTGCGTATGATTAATATCATGAAGATTATATACGATTGATATTCATATAAAGGGTGTACTAAAAGTAACGGACCATCCTAATAACTCCTCAGTATTGAAGTTTCAAGGAAAATGGTCACAATAAAAGTTGTAGGGATATAAGTGAGCTACCTTATGATGACCTTGACTTTGACCGTGACCTCTACTTTCAGGGTCATTTTAAGGTCAACTTGCGTGTTTTAAACGAGAATCCTTATTTTTTACAACACTGCTCTCTTCTACTAGTTAATTTGAACAAATTATTGTCTAAAAAATTTTTTCATTTGTCTAATATTTTTATAGATATTCGAGGAGAGCTTGATTTCGATATTAGGTTGTGACCGGGTCTCGGGAAGGTGTTTATTTTTTGATCTTCCTAACCGATCCTAACCAGTCGGTGGTATCCTCTGGTGGCGCTGACCCTGGTCGTCAGCTGAGCCGATCTGGTCCTGACCTCTCGTCCTTCTCACGGCTGCCTCGGTCGCCAGTCGCTGTCGGATTATGGGAGCAGCGACACTCCAGTGGATGGCCCGGTGTGGGACACCCGAGATCTAGTCTCTATCCGAAGACTGTCAGGTCCGTATCGCAGGACCGTAACGTTGGTTGGACATTCGGTGTACCGTGTGTGTCCAGACTTAATTGCCAGTCGATGGCGTTCTATAGTGCTATATATATATGTGTTAGCAGTCGATGGTGTACGAAGGTATAGCCTGTATGGTTAGGTTGTGACCGGGTCTCGGGAAGGTGTTTGTTTCTAGGCCTTCCTAACCGATCCTAACCAGTCGGTGGTATCCTCTGGTGGTGCTGACCCTGGTTGTCAGTTGAGCCGATCTGGTCCTGACCCTCTCGTCCTTCTCACGATTGCCTCGGTCGCCAGTCGCTGTCGGATTATGGGAGCAGCGACACTCCAGTGGATGGCCCGGTGTGGGACACCCGAGATCTAGTCTCTATCCGAAGATTGTCAGATCCGTATCGCAGGACCGTAACGTTGTGACCGGGTCTCGGGAAGGTGTTTGTTTCTAGGCCTTCCTAACCGATCCTAACCAGTCGGTGGTATCCTCTGGTGGGGCTGACCCTGGTTGTCAGCTGAGCCGATCTGGTCCTGACCCTCTCGTCCTTCTCACGGTTGCCTCGGTCGCCAGTCGCTGTCGGATTATGGGAGCAGCGACACTCCAGTGGATGGCCCTGTGTGGGACACCCGAGATCTAGTCTCTATCCGAAGATTGTCAGATCCGTATCGCAGGACCGTAACGTATTGGGACATCCGGCGTACCGTGTGTGTCCGAACTTATTCGCCAGTCGATGGCGTTCTAGGGTGCTATATATAGCTATACCAGTCGGTGGTGTGCGTAGGTAATGCCTCTTTAAGTGTACCACTAGTGAACTTAGTCACTGTAGCGGTGTTCGAGCCAGTCAGATGTGCCCTCGGGCACATTTATTGCCTTTTGCCAGTGAGATGTGTCGATCGGTCGGAACGATTCCCACTTTAGTGGAACGCGGACGCGTATCCTATGTATAGAAATCCCCTGTGATGCGCGGTCACGTGTGGGGAAGACCGTCACCAGTCGTTGGTGTACGGTCGAACGTACTATAAGCTCGTCACCTGGTCTGAGTGTACGAACGTGCGCTGTAATATTTTTTCCCGAGAGCTTGGCTCGTTGGGAATAGTGACACCAGTCGATAGTGTTTAATCGTACGCACTATAGATGTCAGTCGCCAGTCGATGGTGTCCTGACGCACGTACTATAGCAAGCACCAGTGAATGGTCCCCGTGGGGATCCAGTCAGTGGTGGACAAAGGCAATTGTTTATTTAATTAACAAAAAATGGCGTTGACTGGTGAAAACTCGAAAACCGACTGGATAAGACTAGTGCGCCCGACATTTAGGGGCGCTCGCGTTATAAAAAACATAATAAACTAATAAAATTCAAACCAGTCGATGGTAAATTTAGGCAATTATTTATTTAACAATTAGTACGCACCCTTTAACTTCCGACTGATACGCTAGCATGCACTTTCGGGGAAGGTAAATCAATACGATCGCCGATTAAAATAATAATATAGAAAATAACTTTATTAATTATTAACTATCGCACTCGCAAAACACAAATCTGAGTAAATTAACATAAACAATGTAGCGTCGTCACGCGTGATTACATCGCTTGCCGTTACTCGCTAGTCCCGAGGAAGATCATATTACGCCGTCGCGGGAACAAAGACGCCGCCGCGCGAGATCAAAGGGCCGCCGCTCCGTCACCTCCCGGATCACTAGGTGTTAATTGCGAAATTTAACGACGCGGCCGGAACAATACGCGGGCTTAGACGTCGGGAGGATGAAGCGGTTATCGAGGCACTAACACTCGCGGTCGCGCACTGACGATTATGACGTCACGGATAATGAGGATGTCGGCTACGCCGCGCTTACCGTCCGCCGCCTCCTGGGGGTGCCTCGGGTTCTACGGCGGGTCGCAGCCCTGAGCCGTCCTCAGCGAACCCTCCTACGGTCGTCGGGTATCCCTATCCGTATGTGCACGTAACGCCCACGCACGGTATGTCACCTCCGAGGAATACGCACTCGCGGTGACACCCACTGCCCGGAATTACAGGTACGCGCTCTAGACGTCCTTCCGGGACGGGCGACGTGACCCTCGTCTATGCGGAACGTGTCTCTACGCGTTCACTAAGTGCGTATGACGCAATCGCAACCGTTTCCGCTGCACGCGCGATACGTGTTGTCTGCACGCTGGGCGAGACCTCACTCCTCGAGCCGTTGTTCGGCACTTCCTTATATACCCTCTGGTCACGTGGGGGTCACGTGACTGTCGGGCGAGACCTGCGGATGGCAGCAGTAGGCCTTTAGTTGCCATGGCAACCAGTCAATGGGACAAGGATGCTCATTGTCCCCTTTTATGCATTAATTACAAGCTTTACGGGCCTCGTGCTGCCTTGTAGCGAGTCTCAGAGCGTTTGTACACTAAAAATAC